GAAGCCACCAGAGCACTCCAGGGGAGGGCCATTTTTCGACACCCCTCACAAGGATCGTGGCCTCCGAGGGGGCAGCCGCAATCGACTAACCCCCCCCCCGCCCCAAGAGGCCCCAGAAAGCCCCCCAAGAGGCCCTGGGGGCCCCCAGGACGCCGCCAAGGAGCCCCAAGAGACTCCCAAGAGGTCCCCAAGAGGCCCCCAAGAGACCCTAAAGAGGGCTCCAGGGCCGGCGGAATGAGCGAAGCGATTTAACATCATCATCATCATCATCATCATCATCATCATCATCATCATCATCATCATCATCATCATCATCATCATCATCATCATCATCATCATCATCATCATCATCATCATCATCATCATCGTCGTAATCAGCATCATTATCATCATCATCATCGTCATCGTCATCTTCATCATCATCATCTGCAGCAGCATCATCATCATCATCATCAGAATCATCATCATCATCATCATCATCATCAGCCTCATCAGCATCGACATCACCATCACCATCATCGTCATCATCATCAACATCAGCATCATCATCATCATCATCATCATCATCCACATTCTCATATCCCTTCTGATCATCAGCAGCAGCATAATCATCATTACCATAATCATCAACAGCATCATCATCGTCATCAGCATCAGCATCAACAGCATCATCAGCAGCAGCAGCGTCAGTATCAGCATCTGCATCACCACCATCATCATCATCATCATCATCATCATCGTCATCATCATAAGATTCATCATCATCACCATCATCATAATGATCATCAGCCTCATCATAATCACCAGAATCCTCTCCTTATTCTTCACCCTTATCATCAGCAACATTAGCATCAACAGCAGCAGCAGCAGAATCGACATCGGCATCAACTCGCCTCCTCCCCATCTCCTCCCAAACCTACTCCCCAACCTCCTCCTCCTTCTCCTCCTCCTCCTGGCTCATGCTTTCCCCCCTCCCTCCCTTCCTCACTCATCCCTCCCTGCTCATACTCCTCCTCTTCATCCTACCTTTCCTTCTCCTCCTCCTCCTCCTCCTCCTCTTCCTCCTCCTCCTGGTTCCTCTGGTTCACCTCCTCCACCTCCGAAGGCCCTTCTCAACTACATCGTCTGCCCCAGCACGCACCCTGCGGGACAAACCTGCGGGCAAGGCACGCTCAGCCCCGAGCCAGCCGCGGGCGCGCAGGTGCATCGCGCTTGTGAACCGGAGGTGAAGCCTGATGATCGTCACAGTGCCGCACGTGGGGAAAGTGGAGCTGGATCCAGTGTTTATCGAGCTTGCCCACCTTCGACCAACCTAGTGCGCAGATCGGCCAAGACAGACCAAGCACAGCGGAGCCGCAACCGACCAGAACAGACAAGCCGCAAGCAGCCTGGAAAGGCGCAGCGACGCAGCAGCGACACGGCAACTGGCCGATCCGAATCGACTCCGACAGAGCCACAGCCCTGCCAAAAAAAACAGGATGCGTTGGGGAGAAGCAGCCTGCCAAGCCAGAGAGCACCTAGACAAGAGGCTCGACGAGCTTGGCGGCACTCTCCGGAGCGCAGAAAGCTTCACAACGACTACGCAGGATCCGAGATGGCAAACAGGTGACACCAAGAAATCAATGAAGGGTACGGAAGAAGACGGCCGGGCCTTGGAATGACGCGGGATCCGATGTCGTGTTTCGGTCGGACTCGGTTGAAGCGCTCAAAGACACGAGGGGCGCTGTACTGGAAGATCCGTGCTGGGAGCGGCCACCAAACAACTGTAGTGGGTCTTGCCATCGCTCGGACGTCCATTCCCCGTGCAGTTTTCGATTCCGTGCGCGCATGCTTGGCAAGATGATCCAGGGTGCTCCTCGATGGTCCTGGCCGAGAAAAAACGCACACGTCCGAGCGATGCCAGGGGGCGGTGGTGGCACGAGGGAAATCGAGGCAGCTCGACAGAGCAGCGGCACAGCGTGGGCACGGGGAAAGAAGCGAGGCGACGGGAATGGGAGCCCGCTGCTTCGAAGAAGTCGCCCGATGCAATGCCGAGCCCTGCTAGATACGAGCAGACGGCCATCCCAGCACAGGCTGGGCGCGCGGAAAGGAGGGAGGAGGGAGAAAAGCACACAGACACAAGTAATCGCGATTCCCAGGATGATAAGGAAACTATTGGAAGCAGAGGGGAAGACGAACATCCAGAAAATGTGGAAAACTAGGGGAGTCCTGGAATTTGTATTGTCCCATGACACCCTGCTGAACGAAGGTGCACAACTGCCCACAGGAGCATTGTACTGCAACACGCGCCACCAGGCCCCCACCCACTAGACCCTAGGGACCACGCACGGCACCACGCAGCACCGTGCCGTGCGGCTACCTCCACGCTGTAAGCACCCAGAGCGCGCTACTCCAAACACAACGCCACTGCCTGGTCCCACACTGCGCCGAACCGTAATCGCAAAACTCGGGGCCATACGGCACCATGTGGCGCCAGGCCACCAGCTCGGACTTTCGGGCACTTCGACGTTGCTACAGCCTCGGGGCGCCACACTCAATGCCATGCGGTCCCGAGCCACTGACTTGTACCCCAGGGCCCGCACAGGGCACGGCTCTACGTATGGCACGGTATGGCACTGGCTGGGAGAACCACTTCAGCTTGCCAGGATACAATCGCACTGTCTTCGGGCCAACTGCTACCTAAAAAGGGACCGTTAAGCTGGCCATCGCTCGGACGTCCATCGCTCGGACGTTCATCGGAAGGAAAAATGCACACGTCCGAGCGATGCCAAGCAATATATATATATATATATATATATATATATATATAGAGAGAGAGGGAGGTCTGGCCACCTGGGCACACTCGACCCGCAGGGCACCATGAAACGGTGCAACAGCCCAGGACCTCCGGGCGGCACACGCGCGGCACCACACGGCACCATTGCTTTGCAGTGCAGATCTCGGCCCTACGCATGTCGAGAGCCGCTGCAGCTTTCGCTGCGTAGGTGCCTACCTCGATCGGTGCGAAGAGGTAAAAACAAGGTTCGTGCTTGATGCATTACAGGAGGCCTCAGGGGCGTGCATTCGCCCACACTGCATGGTTACTGCATGCTGTTTCGCCCTTGGACGGCAACATCACTGCAAGGCCACTGCAGCCCATGGTGTAGAATACACTACAAACAATGCAGGTAGCAATCCGGCACTGTGCCGCTGGGCACGGAGTGGGCGCATCCTCCAGTCCTCTGCATCGTCCCCTCAGCCTCAGTCCTCGATCCTAAGGGTTCGTAAGGGGCCCGAGCCCGAAATTCTCAAATCTTCTTGCGCTTGGCGCGGTTCCCCTGGGCTCCGGGACATCTTCTCGCATGACTTTTTGGGGACCAAGAGGGCCCCAGGACGGACTAAGAGGGCCCCAAGAGGTCCAAGAGGACCCGGAAACGCCGAACGATCGCTCCAAGACGCTCAAGATGGCCCCCAGATGACCCAAGAGACTTCCAAGATCCCACAAGAGGCCTCCAAGAGGCCTCCCAAGAGGGCCCCAAGAGGCCAAAATCATTGACTCTCCAAGGATTTTGAAGATATCTGGCGCTCTCGCCTTTTCGACTCCCCAACGCTACCAGATGGCCCTAGAACCCTCAAGATCGCCCGAAGACGGCCCAAGAGGCCTCCAAGAGGGCCCCAAAACGGCCCAAGAGGGCCCCAAGACGGCCCCAAGACGGCCCAAGAGGTGCCCAAGATGGCCCAAGAGGCCTCAACGACGGCTAAAAAGGTGACCCAGATGGGGGACCCGAACGGACATTTCGAGCCCTCGGCCCCGAGGAGCCCCCTGGAGGCCCCAAGAGACCCCCAAGAGGCTCCCAAGATGCCCCTGAACTGACCCCAAGAGGTCCCCGAGAGCGCTCCGAAGAGACCCCAAGAAGCATCATCCCTGAGAACTCTGACCCACAACCCGGGCACGGTGGCGGGATGGGCCGAAGGCCATGAGATCGACATGAAATAACTGAGAGCGCAGAATCAATAGTGGCATTAATCGATCCGTACTGCTTGCTGGACGGCCGGCACTGAATGTACGTCATCCCTACGGTTGGACTCGATCGCGCCTGTTGCAGTAATCCTCATCATCCTCTGGCTGCTCCTCCTTCTTCCCTGGCCCAACGAGAATGATAGATTTGCCGTGCAGGTCTGTGCAGGGAGAGGACAATCCAGAATGTCTTACTGCATAAAAAAACAACGTCGAAAGGCTGAACTGCAGCAGCCCGAAGAAACACTGTTTTAAATGAACATGTTACATTGGCACCTGGGAGCGCGATCGTACAGCATCGTCAACAGCAGTAGCAGCACCGTCTGAAAAATGCCAGCACGCGTCGCCCGTAAGGGTTCCATTAAGCATTCGTAGCAATGGTGTATCATCGGCAGGCGGGAGGCTACACAACCCACCTACACCTCCACCCTACTCCACCCTCTATATATCTCGTCCACTTCATCTCCCGTACCCCTCCGTCTCACAGTCCTCGTCCGTTCTGCTCCTCTTTATCCTTCTCCTACGCATCCTTCCCCGGC